TTATCAATTGTGCTTAGCTGTACATGTTCATATCCTTGAAGATGTATCATGGAACTGTTGCAGCCTAGAAGACACAAATTTAACTAACAAGTTAAAAGTACATGAGTCAAAAATTAAAATCTTCTTAATTTAAAAAACCTCAAGTTCTCTGAGTTTTGAGGAATCCCTGAGAAAGTTGTTGCTGAGTTGGAACAATTGGAACAAACTCATAGCTGATCCTCCAGCGGGCTTTTAGAGGTTGTAAATTGCATGGGAGGAGACTGCCCATCTTTCTCCTAGGGAGTAGCTGGTAGATTCCAACCACATGCCTTTGGGTTGGCAGCACAACTCTCCACTCACTAGGTGTTACATATTCATTTAATGAAAATAAAACTTTCTCTTTACTGAATCTATTCATAGCTGACCCTTCAGCAGGCTTTCAGAGGCTGTAAATGACAAGGAAGTTTTCCCATCTTTCTCCCTTGGAGCTGCCAGTAGATTTGAACCACTGGAGTGGTTTGGCTTTGGGCTGGCAATGCCAGTTTCAATCACTCTCTCTCAGTACCATCAAGTCAGAACTGACTCATTGATAACTGTCCAGTAGGTTCTCGGAGCCAATAAATAGCAAAGAAGGAGATGATTGCTTATCTTTCTCCCTTGAAGCCACTGGTGGATTTGAACCACTCATCTTTGAGTTGGCAGTACAACTCTCTACTCACAGGGCCAGAAGAGCACATTGTGATTTGTGAACTGCACTAGTTGAGGTTAAAATGATTATTAAATTAAAAACAATGGGAACATTTAGAGTTAAATCTTTGATAGTCCAGATGTGATGCTGTAACCATGATTATAGGAGAGATTCATGACTGTTAACACCTCTTTGGTCCCTCCTTCAGCTCCCAATTCTTTCTTGTCCCCCAAATAAACTTCTTTGAAACTACTTACCACATTTTAGAATTATTTTCTAAAATATTTGATGTTTATAAGTATAGGGGAAATAAAGTTTTACCATCTGCTCCCTCTATGCCCAACTTCTTTAATTGGACCCAATACATTCTTCCAGTTCTCGTGAAATCTGGTGCAGAGTAGCCTTCAATGAGAAGCTGATGGGAGAAAAACGATGAAAGGCTCTGTTCCCCGAGAGAATTCCTCTATGAAACCAAATATGGTGCCTGTGAAGCTGGGATGGGTCTTGGGAGAGTTCATGTGGCAGAAATAGGGTCCCAGAGAGGCGAGGATAGGAGGTCTATATAGATAGAAATTTGAAGATCTTACAATGTGCATGATGGTTTATGTAACAAGAAATCCGTGAGAGATAATGATGGGGGTTAAGAGGGGGCAGAGATGGGAGTCACACAGGAGATATGGAGAAGATGGGGCTATTGCAGGACAGAGGATGGGGAACCCAAGACATGAATAGGAATCAGTGTTGCACAGTTGAGAGAAGTCCTGTATTAGGTAGAATTGAGGGTCCTTGTGACATTTGGGCCATTCTGATGAGAAAGGAGTCTATTGCCAACTTGGGAGCGAGTGTGTGTGATAGGCTTGGGGTACATAGTTGAGAGTATCATGAGCAGTGAAGAATAGGGAGTCACTTTCACACAGCTGCAGGGGGTTCAGGTCCTGTGAATCGGAGATGGAGATCCAGAGAAGCGGGTTAAAGTATACAATGTGCCGTCGGAATGGGGGCAGGGGAAACTGAGGGTCTGAGTGGGGCAGGGATAAGCGCCTACATGCCCCCAGTGACCAGGCCACCAAACTGGGGCTGGTGAATATCCCAAGGATGCGGTAACTGGATTGTAATTGGATTTCCCGGGCGGGGGTCGCGGCGGCGGATCCTGGGCGCCCCCTGGCGGTCATGACTCGCCGCCGCCGCCGCCGCGTCTCCCACAATGCTCGTGTAGCCCCGCTTCGGCTCCTGTGGCGGCGACGGTGGCAACTCCAAGATGGCGCAGGCAATCTTCGAAGCCCTGGAGGGTGAGCAGCAACGGGGTCGGGAGAGGCGGCTGTTCCACGCCGCGCCCCTCCCGCCGCGTCCTCTCAGCGCCGGGCCCTGGGCACGCGGTGGCCGCGGGGCGGAGGGCGCCGGGGCCGGAACAGCCGCGGGGTGGGAGGAGGGTGGACGGGAACAGCCGCGGGAGCAGCAGCCGGCGGGGGGTATACAACGGGCCTGGAACAGCCCTGGGAACCGAGGCGCGGCGGAGGGGGGGAACGACTTCGGAACAGCGCTGGGAGCCGAGGCCCCGCGTGGGACTCCGAGACCGGAACAGCCGCCGCCTAGAGGCCTCGGCCGGGAGCTGGGGGTGGGGCTGGGGGCTGGAGGGACAGGGGGCTTGGGGGAGTGGGAGGGACATCCTAGGGGGGCGGGGCAAGGAACAGCCCGGCGGTTGAAGGCCCTTGCCATTGAAGGCCCTTCCCTGGGGTTGGGGGCCTACAAGGGTTACCCTGATCTGGGTGGTGATACAGGATCAGCTGTTGGGCGGGAAGGCGGGAGCGGGGTTGGTGGTGGTCGGAGCACCTGCGCCCGACCGCCAGACTTCGGTGAACCTCCACTGAGCACCATATTTATACTTCATAATTAGATGGGTACCTTTAAATTCAAACCTGGAAACAGATCCGTGTCCCGGCCACCAGCCCTCGGACAGGACACGGATGCTCTCCACCCAAACCGGCATACACAGGGCTCCAATTGGTTGTCTCTGCGAGACTCTGAGATGAGGTTCTGTTCCTCGAGCACCTCAGCACCTGCTGGCCTTCAGGGAAGAAGGCAGGTAGCCTTACGGGTTTGAGGGGCATGGTACAGAGCCGTCCCTGGGGGCCCTAATACAGACACAGAACGTTCTTGGAACTGTGATGAGTACACACAGATTATGAACGTGCAAATAAAACGTGGACTGAACAGACATTTTGTGGCTGAGTCCTTGAGTCCATGTGGCTGAGTCCTTGAGTCCAGCAACTCCCTGGGAAATCTCATCTCTTTATTTCTTGGGAAATGGAGTTCTCCGTATGAAATAGGGGACGGCCCCTGTTTGTGAGCCAAGCATACAGCCTGAGGAGGGAGAGAGAAAAAGATAAAGCAGAAACATTCCAAAACCCAAACCAACACTCTGTAGTTGATTCAGATTCATGTTTGTAGATTAGAACTCTGTTCCTTGAGGTATTCAAGGCTGTGTGACCTTTTGGAAGCAGATTGCGAGACCTGTTTTCCGAGTGGAATTGAACCACTAACTCTCTGATTTGTCTCAAAAATCCCCCGAACCCCTTAAAAAGCATTGTATGTAATTGGGAGGATTCATAGCAACCCTTCACCAGGTTTCTGGTGCTGAAAATCTTAACAGTAAGAGACTAGCTTTTTCTTGCTGAGCATCTATTAGCTATATTCAGACTGCCTTAGTTATTTTATTGGTTAGTAGGGTAACACACTACGAGTTACGCCACCAGAGCTCCCATCTTTCTTTGTGCCCTTCAGGAGTCTTAAGAATTCTACAGTCTGGTTCGAATCCACCAGATGCTCTGCTGGAGGAGGGACAATCTCCTCCTGTACCAGTCAGATCCGATTTGACAGTACACACACACACACAATAATAACAAAAAATTTTTTTTAAAAAAGAATTCTACAGTTATGTTCTTGTTAGGAACCATCAAATTGACTATGACTCATAGTGACCCTATGATCAACACAGCCATCCTGCACCATCCTCATGATCGGTCATGCTCAAGGTCATTACTGTAGTCACTGTGCTAATCCCTCTCCTTGAGGGTCTGCCTCTCTTTTGCTGACCCTCCACCTTTTCCAGCGTGATGTTTCTCTCTGAAAAGAAGCCCCAAATGAGACGAAGATTCACAATCCTTGCTTCTAAGGAGCACTCTGGTTGCACTTCATACAATACAGATTTGTTTTCGCAGTCCATGGTATATTCCATACTCTAACACCATAATTCAAATACATCGATTTTTCTGTTATCTGTAAGTATGAAAGAAGAAGACTACTATAGAATTATAACAAAGATAAACAATAAAATACAGCATCAGGTGATGCTATAAAGAAAGTAAGCAAAGGAGTGGGGTGGGACATGAGAGGCAAGGGTCAGTGGTCCCTCTGAGGGGGACAGCAGAAGGACATGAGGACAGATTATCTTTATACACTCTAGACTTTCTATATGAGGTTTTCCCCCTACAAAATTTGTGTATTGAGTAATGCAACTAAAAAGAAAAATCAGTTCCCAGGACAGTAGAATGTTCCTTATGCTTGGGAAAGGGGGAGCAGGGCTGTGGGAGTCATAGTGACCAAAAGAAGAAGATTTAAGGGAGCTCTGGTGGCCTAGTGGCAAGAAGCTGTGCTACAATCCCAGAGGTACACAGTTCAAATCCACCAGATGCTCTGCCTGAGGGACAATCTCCTCCTCTACCGGTCAGATCAAATTTGACGGTATATACACAAAAAATAATAAAATTTTTTTAAAAAGAAGATTTGAGTAACTTGGGCAGAGCTTATGGGGAGAAAGTTCTGCTAGTGTTCACGAGCGTTTGATGAGGGTGAACAGTGACAGATCAGGGATCCACAGATTTGATGAGGCTTCTGCATTTTACCATGGAATCATGGAGCTAAGGAAGGGTTTCCTGCAGGGGAATGATATAATCTGATGTATGTTTTATAAAGTTCACCCGGCTGCTAGGAAACAGACTGGAGGGAGCCGGAAAGGCCGTGGGGAGGGAAGTGAGGAGGCTGTAGCTGCAGTCCAGCTGAGAACTGAGGTGACCTGAGCCAGGGGCACAGCTGTGAGGATGGAGAGACAACATGAATGTGAGAAAGACTGGAGATGCAGAATAGGCATCTCAGATTACTGAAGGATTACATTTGGTGAAGGACTAGAAATGAGGGAGTTGGAATAGCTGAGTAGAGAATTAAGACGGACTTCAGGGGCTATGACTGGGTGAACAGTGGTGCCCTTTTCTTGTTGAGGAGCCCTGAAAGAGGTCCAAACTTAGGAGTGAGGGATGACACCTTTTCTACATAGACCACATTTTTTAAAAATGGAACTTTTAAATTTTACATAAATGTAGATTCACATATAATTACATCCATCAAGGACTTCCTCACATTGTTAGGTTCCAGAGACCAGGTCATTTTTGTAAAAAATCAGCTTATGTAGAAAAATGCTAGGTGACCACATCAAAGCCAGATTCCATTATTATCTTCTCCCAGACCTATCTGCTCTTTTGGCAGTCCTTGGGTTATTCACTACTCTTCACCAACATAATTCAAAGGCATCAGTTTTTCTGCCATTCTTATTCAGTATTCAACTTTAAGGTCCATATAAAGCAATTGAAAGCATCCCAATTTGGATCAGGTGTACCTTAGTCTTTAATAGCCTTCTTCTTTAGCACTTTGGTGAGATCCTTGACAGCAGATTTTCCTATTGTAACACATCTATGGTAGAAGTACATATTCAGTGCTAGCTTTAGAGAAAGGCCTGCTTTGTCAGTTGTAAAGAAAAAAAGTCCTTGACCCATGGAGACCTCCATGTGTCTCGGCAAAAAGGATACATCCATTCTTACTGTGTCTTACTAGGTGGTACTCAGAGTCCATTCTCTCAGCTCCCTTCTCTTCCCTATTATTTTAATACGATAAAAGGATTACAGACCACTGTCCAGGGAAACTCTGCTTGCATTTTATTAGGGCTGTGATGAGGTTTAAGAGGTTTTGCCTTCCACTTTTAATCCTTCTGCAACTACTTGGTTTATCAGTTTCAGGGGCTCATTATGTAAGTGTGGAACTTATTGCCAGTAATTACAGTAACTGGCTGTGTGACTCTACCCTTAATTTCTTCTTTTTTTATGTGATCCCTTCCCCTTACTGTCTGGCTTCCACCCTGGTATCCACTCATAAATTTAGCCTCTAATACTTACCTGGCAGGGGAGATACCATGATCACGAAGGTGGTTTTCCCAGGGTGAGGCTTATCCATTGTACTCCGAATGTGCTGACCCCTGCGATTTCCCCAATGTGGGAAACTTGACTGCATAATTTGTGGTAGTGGGGGACTGCGTTCGTACTGTCCCCTAATAAAAAAAAAAGCCTCTATACATTTATCTTTTCTTGTCTTTTTACATTAGTAAAGTAATATAATATTTGCTCTTTTATGATTTAGTCTGCATAATATTTTAGCCACTTTAAGTATATTATTCAAAGGCATTAATTGCATCCACCATGTTGTATAATCATCACAACTGCTCATTTCCAGTGTTTCTCAGCTTCCAGAAGCTAAAAACTAAACCCCCCTCACTGTAGTTCAGTCAATATCTCTTAATGTCTTTCCCTTGTGCTTGTCTCTCTATTTCTGTTGTTTGCTGTCCAGTTGGAACTGACCCGTAGCTGACCGTCCAGTGGGCTTTCGGAGGCAATATTTCACAAGAGAGGAGATTGCTCATCTTTCTCCCACAGAGCAGCTGGTGGATTCGAACCACATTCCTTTGGGTTGTCAGTACAACTCCTTAACACTAAATCTCCCACACTCTTGTTGTTATTGTGTGCTATGGATTTGGAACCGACCCTCTAGCAGGTTTTCAGAGGCAGGAGATTGCACGAGAGGAGATTGTCCATCCTTCTCCTGCCCCACACGCTAGTCAACACCTTTTTCCATTTACCCTCTAGAGGGTATGAAGTGGTTTTAATTCACATTTCCCCAAAAGATTGAATTGTCAGGTTTTCAACACCCACAGTAGCAGCAGTCAAAAATAACAAAGCTCTTAGAGAGATGCAAATTAAAACAACTATGAGATATCATCTCACTCTAGTAAGAATAGCAAAATTTAACAGAGAGCGAACAACAGATGCTCATGGGGTTGCAGAGAAACTGGAACCCTTATTCACTGTTTGTGGCAGTGTAAAATGGTGCAACCACTATGGAAGGCTGTATGGCGCTTTCTCAAAAAGTTGCAAATAGAAATACCATTTGACCCAGCAGTTCCTCTAATGGGAATATACCCTAAAGAAACCATAACTGCCACCCAGGCAGATATATGCACACCTATGTTTATTGTGGCTTTGTTCACAATAGCAAAGAGTTGGAAACAACCTAAGTGCCCATCAACAAACGAATGGATAGAGAAGCTCTGGTATATTCACACAGTGGAATACTAGGTATATTCACACAATGGAATACTATGCAGCATTGAAAAACAAGGAACTCATGCAATAATATTCAAAATGGGTGACCCCTAGAGGACATTATGCTGAGTGAAATATCTCAGTCACAAAAGGACAAATATTGCATAGTGCCACTGTTGTAGAATGGGACTGACATCAGGGTTGGGGTGAGACTGAGAAAAATTGGATAAGTTATGTATACTGCATTGAAACAGATGAGGGAGAGAACAGTTTAATAGCGATATATGATAGGGTATCATGGTTATCACAAGAGTCCAGAATGAAGGCTGCATAGTGGAGCGTACTTGGGGGGGCAGTGTATATCAATGAAGGAATTTTTCTTTCACTTTTTAAAGAGAAGAGTGAACTGAGGTGGGGCAGGAAGAAAAATGCAACAATGAATGAGTGGAAATCCAAAATCTCTGGAAATGTTCATTAAAATTATAAAATTTATAAAAAAATTCCAAAATAAAAAATAACAAAATATGTGTTGTATTGAGGAAATCTGACAAGGACCTCCTTAATATGCTAAAGAGCTAAGATGTCAGTTTAAAGACGAAGGTGCATCTGATGCAAGCCATGATACTTTCAGTTGCTTCCTATGCTTCTGAAAGTTGGACAGTGACTAAGGAAGACCAGAGAAGAATCAATGCTTTTGAATTGTTGTATTGACAAAGAATATGGACTATAACTGGGCTTCCAAAAGCATGGACATACTTATGTTGGAAGAAGTACAACCAGAGTGCTCTTTAATGGCAAGATTGTTGTAAAAGGATTAGATACAACATGGAGGTGGCCGAGTGTGACTTCTGCCTGCTTCATAAAGGGGAACTGTTCCCATCAGTTACATCCATAGTACTGAACAAATAGCTACATAGTCAGACATGCCACCTCACATGCTCCTGCTCCTATTTCTACAAATCATTGGGTCCAATGTGTGTTGCAAATTGACTCACAGACTTTACTCACAGTTGTGGGGTTTATTAGGGAAATAGGTTGGGGAGTGGGAGAGGCAAAGCATATCTCATTTGCAAGTCCTTTCATTTTATCACTCCCAAGCCAGGTTAACAAGGCACAAATCCTCAGCTACTGAAAGTCCAGGTTCAAGTCAACAGCATAAATGCACCTCTGGTTTCCTTAGTCATCCAGCAAATTTTTAGTCCAGCAATTCCAAGCCATATTACAGCAAGACACAATTCCTCAATTAATTCAAACAGCTTCTCAGTCAATAAGTGAAAGTCTAGGATTAGTTCAGCAGTACAAATAAACCTCTACTTTCTTCAGTTAGGCCTGTAAACTATATTTCAGAGCAGTAACAAGTCAGTGTTTCATTCACTCATCCAGCAAGCAAAATGTTTAACTGTGGCTCCATCTCCAGGGTTCCTCTGGTTACACCTTGCCACAGTCTCCTCACAGCAGTGCCATAGTCTCTTCACCCTTTCTCCACCACTGTCTCTCACAGTGTCAATACAGTTCATCCCCCACCATCACTGACAGTGTGGAAAGTGTTCTCTTATGTTGGTCCCATAACTGTTGATGATTTGTAAGACCATGTGTCCACAGATAAGGTAGCTGGAGACCATGCCCCCCCCCAAATGGGGGCTAACATAATGGCTAGAAAAGCCAATTTTCAAGGGTTCTGACACCCCAATTGTGAAATTTTGTCTCCATACTTAGCGTGTGTTATCAGGAGAGGCCAGTCCTTGGGAAAAGACATCATCCTGGGAAAGATAAGGGATCAGCAGTGGAGAGGAAGACCATAATGAATACAATTAGTTTGAATATGATGGAGATTGTGAGGATGGTGCAGGATAGGGATAAGTTCAGATCTGTTGTTTGTAGGGTTGCTATGATAGTAGTTGACTCTGATGCTTAGCAACAGTGACTTAGCTTTGGTGGCCTAGTCCATAGGGAGTTGCACTACTTTGGTTATTTGAATCCACCATTGGCTCCACGAGAGAAAGATGAACAATCTGTCATATGATTTAAAGCTTCCAGTAGCCCACTGGAGGATTAGATATGAGTCAGTTTTTACTTTAGGGCATTGAGTTGTTTTGTTTGTTTGCTTTAGTGATTGAGCTGTGGTGCTTGAGTTTTGAATATACCATGGACTGCTAGGAGAACTAACAGGTTCTTCCTGAGACAGTGAAACTGGGCTGCTTCTTGGAGACAAGGATTCTGAGGCTCTCTCTACATACTTTGGGTATGTTGTAAGGAGGGACCAGTCTTTGAAGACGGACATCATGCTTGAGAGGGTGGAGAGATAGTATAAGAGAGGAAGATCCTGGGTGAGATAGATTGGCTCAGTGACTGGGGTAATGGGGGTAGAGGTGTCAGACAGTAAGATTGGCTCAGGATAGAGCAGGATTCAGAGCTGTTGTATATAGGGTTGCTGTGAGTTCCAAGTGACTCGATGGCACATAACAACAACAACAACAAGAACTCTGGTGGCCTAGTGGTAAGAATCTGCACTTCAATCCCGAAGGCACACAGTTTGATTCCGCCAGCTGCTTCATGGGAAAAGGATGGGCAATCTCCTGTGCGACTTCTGCCTCTGAAAATCCGCTGGAGGGTCAGCTTTGGATCGGTTCCAACTTGATAGTACACAACAACAAAGTAGTTAAATACTGGGCTGCCAACCGAAAGGCCAGAGGTTGGAACTCACCTCCTCCTCTGTGGAAAGATGTGGCATTCTGCTTCTGTAAAGATCACAGCCCTGAGAAACCTATGGCACAGCTTACTGTCCTCTGAAGGGCCACTACTGAATTAGCAACTTTAGTTTAACTGAATAACTTGTAAAGGAGCTCTAGTGGCACAGTGATTGAACATTCAATTGTTAACTGAAAGTTGGTGGTTTGAACTCTCCACCTCAGTCTGGTAAGAGAAAGCGACTTCGGTGGAATGATGTGGAATGTGGGGTGGGGGAGATTAGGAGGTAGGCAAAGGAAAGAGGGGCTATAAATGACCCTCATGGGATGTTTTGTGTTGAAAAGAAGAAAAATGCGAACATAGGCTTGAGGAAGAGTGAAATAGTCCTGAGCATGTCTGTGCTGATGAGACCCAAGCTTCTTACTGATGAGAAGGAGAAGTTGCAGGCAGAGTATGGGGATAGGGGCTGGTTTGTGAGCAGCGGTTTCTCATGGCAGGAGGCTAAGGAAATGTCTTGTGAAGTGAGAGACAGAATGTTAGTTGTGGGAGAGTGAATGGAAGGCATGTTGCTGTGTACCATTGAGCTGGAAGTGACTCGTAGCTGACCCTCCAGCAGTTTTCAGAGACAGTAAGATACACAGGAGGATTGTACATCTTTCTCTGGTGGATTTGAACTGCCTATCTTTGAGTTGATAGCGCAACTCCTCACCATTAAGCCACCAGAGCTCCCTGTGTGTTCACTGGGAAGAAGATATCTAGGATGTGAGGAGGCTTGTGACGTGGCTGGACAGTGTGTTATTGTGATCCTTGACAATGATGACTGATGGGAAAATAGAAAAGAAGGGAGCTTCTCAAGAGTCTTCCAACCACAGATCACATCATGCTACTTATGGAGACAAGCAAATCTTGGATAACAGAGAAAGCAAGGACAAACAGACTTGTGGGGTATGTGGGTATGAGGAAGACTTGGTAGCATGATTTCTGAAAGGACTGTATCTGTTATTATTAGATTCCACTGTGTGTAAGAGAGAAGGCCAAGGTAGCAGTGGCTTAAGCAGATCAGAAATTAATTCCCTCATGGAAGTCCAGAGGAAGGCAGCCCAGGGCTCCCAGGAGGGCTGTGTTCTGTAAGGTTCCTAGTGGTCCAGGATCTTTCCCGTTTTTTGCTCTCTAGTCTCTACAGGGTGGCCATGGTTCTTCATGGTCTGGAATGATGATTCAGATTCCTGATATTCTATGCTTATTGCATGAAGCAAAATGTACACTGAGGCTAAGAGGAGAATCATGTACCCTGAAGCTTTTTAAGACAGCTTACCAGAAACTGCTACACAACAGCTCTACTCGCATCCTGTTGGTCAGAATTGAGTTTTCCTAACTGTTCATGTGTCATTTTTTTCCAACCAAAAATCTTGATAGGAGAGAATGCATATTAGGAACTGGATCATAGGGCAGAGAATGAGACCTGTCTTCCAACCAGACTGCATTTCTTTTTTCAGGGATGGACAATCAGACCGTCCTGGCTGTCCAGTCATTGTTGGATGGCCAAGGAGCAGTTCCTGATCCCACAGGCCAGAGTGTCAGTGCTCCTCCTGCCATTCAGCCATTAGGTGAGAGTGTTGTGGATTTATTTGTGTCCCCTATGTAGTGCTGTCGACCTTAACTGACTTTCCAGCAGGTTTTCAGAGACAATTAATTGCACTGGAGAAGATTGCTCATCTTTTTCCCAGGGAATATCTGAAGGATTTGAACTATGCACCTTTGTGTTGACAGCACAGTTCCTTACCACTAAGACACTAGAGCTCCCACATACACAAAAATGTATTACAGAAACTTGTACTAGAAACCAAATCCCCATACCGGTGGTTATCTTCTCATTTAGGAATGAGTTTTCTTTGTTATGTTAATGTAGGGTTTAATTTAAATCTGTCTCTTTTTTTTATTTTTTTAAAATTTTTAAATTATGGGGGAGCTCTGGTGGCCTAGTGGCAAGGAGCTGCAACCACAATCCCAGAAGCTCACGGTTCGAATCCATCAGATGCTCTGCCGGGGAAGGAGGGACAATCTCCTCCTGTACCAGTCAGATCTGATTTGACGGTACACTCACACAAAAAT